AAGTCCACGTGAGATTCTGTTCTGGAAGGAAAGAGCCATCTTCCTGAAAAATCTCAGAATTAACCAAACTGCATATCTGTTAGATCAGTACAGGATGTCTTAACATTTGTTATGACATCAGAATTCCTGTTTACTGATTTTGGTAGAAGGCAATAAATGTGATCACTGCAAAATGCTCAGATACACACTCATAAACAGTAGCTACTGTATGCCATACTTTTTCTGCATAAAGTACCTAATAATCCAGAATGTTATGACATCAGTCATGACATTTACACACCTGGTTTTACCAAAAATACATGCCAATAACTAAACACTTACAGGCACAATGACCAAATGCGAAGGAACGAGAAGAGTCGTCCCAAAAGTAAGCGCATCACAATAGAAATGGACGATCTTGACAACTTGGAAAGAAAGTGTGGTTTATGCCGTCAGGTCGGACACAATCGCAAAAATTGTCCGAATCAGGCGTCTACCTCGACCACATAAAAATTGTAATACATAAAATCTTTCCTTAATTGTGTTGTAAACATTAGGGTTTTTCGTTAATAGATTTTGCTACAATTAATAAAACGCGTACAAGAAAAATTAACGATATTCCGTCTACGAAATTACAACTGTTAACACAATTTCATCTGACTCGTGCATCATCAATATTACATCGCTGTCTGTTTTGACTTCATCCAACCATACATTAGGTCTTCCTGTCGCATGTGAGGTTGTTGTTCGTTTTCGCTGGATCCTTCGAATTCCCCCCCCCCCCCCCCCCTCCGCAATGTCTCCATTTAGCCATCGCATCAACTCCCGCTTCAGACGCTCCATGGAGTGAATGTGCTAGAATTTCATTTTCATCGCAGGTTTTGTGGCGAAGAAGATAACGTAACCATCTCTGCTAAAAATCATGGGCGACGTCATGACGCAAATAACAAAGTAAAAAATAAAAATACAGTGCGAGAAAGTGTGCGAAATTTCGGAGAAACGGACGAATTATTTATAAAACAACATTTTGCCCTAGTTTTGCCCTAGGAGCCAAGTGAGATGGCGCCTCCTCTCACTTTTAAGGAGCATGCGCCATCTCACTTGGTTAAAAGTGAAGGGAGGCGCCAAGTGAGATGACGCCTAGGGCAAAAGTATGGGTAGATGCGTCAATTCAGATGGCTCCTCCTTTGGGGAGTCATCTGAAACATGGTTATTTGCGTATTTTTTTTTCCGAAACGCGGTTATTTGCGAAATATTATTTTAATACTTGATTATTGTAAAAAAAAATTCACAACTGAATCAATTAATAAAATTAAATTTTTGGTACAATAAAATGAGTATTTTTAGTTTAGCGTTTCACATACGAATTAAAAAGATTAAAAAAAATTGATTCTTAAAAAGCTATAATATATTTACTAACAAAATAGATTTCTTTTTTAAAATAACTATAATTTTAAAAAAAAATTCTCAAATAATTATTCTTTTATCAAATATATCAAAGTAATCATATTTTAAATAAAAAAATTTCGTCATAAAGGAGAGTAATCACTCTATAATATATATATAAAATTTAGAAAGAATGCGGCACATTCCATAACATATATCACATAATGTGACACATACATTGTCTCTGTAAAGAGATATAATTATTAAGTTGTTTTAAATTTTTTAATAAAATAAATAAATAATATAAATATAAAAAATATTTTATAATAATATTAATAAAAAAAATTATACAAGTAATTGAAAATATTTATACCGAAACGCCTTCGGGTAAAATATTTGTGTTTTTTTCTTGAGTTGAGCAGATTACTAATAAATATAATTTTTTTACTTAATTTGTTTACATGTTAAAAAATTTTAAACTGAACTAAAAAAATGGTACACAGTAATCAAAAGTTAACACGAAACCAAGAAACGAAGCGAGTGAGCACAGATTGAAACTCCAAACCCTAAAACCAGAGAAAGTGTGAAGGAACCATGAGACGATCTCTGCTTCGAAACGCTTCTCTCTACACTCGCAATCTTCTCCACCACCACTCTTCCTCCACCGCCGCACTCGCCGTTTCATCTCCCTCCCGATTCCGTCTCTTCTCCTCCGATGAAAAGCCCTCTCCACCTCCCTCCATCAAAGACCCCGCCCCCGCCCCCGACGAAATCGAAGACGTCGACAACAAAGGTTTCTCTCAATTTCAATTATCCCACACACAACGCGAATTTCGAATCCGAATATGTTAATTTTATTATCATCATTGTTGTTTTTGTTTCAGAGTTCAAGTCGCGGATTGATAAATACCTAAAAGGCGATGAACAGATGCTTCCTTCGATCATGCAGGCGATTATGCAGAGGAGGTTATCAGGGAAGCACGAGGATACTGATGATGAGTTGATGAATGAACTCAGCATGGAACCTATTGATGATGTCGATGATCAGGATTTTGAATCTGATTTTGAGGATTTACATGAAACGGACGAGGAGATCGATGATTTGTATAATGCTAGAGATATTGTCATGAAGAAAATGGTTAAAGATAAGTACTTTAATATGGATGACAAGAAATATGATGATATTGTTGAAGATGGTGTTAAGCATGGTTTTCTTATGAATACAAAGGAGTGTGAGGAAATTCTTGAAGATATGCTTAGTTGGGACAAACTTCTCCCAGGTATATATCTATACTACACATATGATCATCCAATTTTCACATCTTTACGTTATGCTTTACGTTACTTTGTTTGTTATTTGTATAATTTGTATACTATTCGACTCTGTCGAATACAACTGACTCCTACTATTATACTCTATATGATATTACAAATAACTGAGACAAGGTTACAAGATGTTGATGTACATTGAAGCCTGATTGTGATATTATACTCTAAAGATATATGATTGTGGTTCATCAACATTTTTGGATGAAAACTCCCATGTATAACACAGTATCATAAACTGCTGAGAAATCCCTCTGAGAATTCTGTTTTTAACAAGTTATATTCTCAAAGGAAGTAAGAACTATAACAGCCTGCAACTTCAAACGAGCTCTTCTCCGCCTCCGGTTCAGCTTGATTTGTTGCATGAACCGATTGCTTTCGCTTCGAAAGAGCTCTTCTCCGCCTCCGGTTCAGCTTGATTTGTTGCATGAACCGATTGCTTTCGCTTCGAACGAGCTCTTCTATTCTGAAACCAATTATAAACATTAGTCTCAGATATTTGCCCATGCTGTCCGAGCTCAGTAGCTATAAATACACGTGCTTGATATTTATTGCATGTTTCGGCCTCAACATGGAATTTGTGTTCTATTGATATGATAGATCACCTTGCAGTTTGTGTACTCCTGTTGATTATTTTCTTTGTTTTGGTGTCTTATTTAGATGAGATAAAACAGAAGGTGGAAACAAAATTTAATGAGCTCGGGGAAATGTGTGAAAGACAGGAACTTGAACCTGAAGCTGCTTATGAACTGTTTAAGAAGTTTGAGGATGAGCTTGTGATGGAATATATGAAGAAGGAGGAAAAAGAAGCAGCCATGCAGTCTGTTGATACTTCTGTGCCAGACAAGAAGAAGTATTCTGATGATCCACCTGGTGAAGGCCCAATTCTCCGGTGGCAAACTCGAGTAGTATTTGCCCCTGGTGGTGATGCATGGCATCCCAAAAACAGGAAAGTGAAACTATCTGTAACTGTGAAGGAGCTTGGACTTTCAAAATACCAATTTCGCCGTCTTAGAGAACTAGTTGGAAAGCGTTATCATCCCGGGAAAGACGAGCTTACAATTACTAGTGAGAGGTAAAATGCGATTAAACTAAATGTCTCATGCATTATTCAATTTTATAAAACTTGATCTGAAAACCTTGAGGTATTTAATCTTTTCTCTTCCATATTTTAAAGGTTTGAGCACCGTGAAGAAAATAGAAAGGACTGCTTGAGGACTCTTCTCTCACTTATTGAAGAAGCCGGCAAAGCTAATAGATTAGTAGACAATGCTCGAACTTCATATGTGAAAGAGAGACTCCGAGCCAATCCAGCTTTCATGGAGAGGCTGCATGCTAAGTCCCTGAGATTGAGAGAATCCAATCAAGTTCCTGCTTGAGGTTTTCATGTTTGACGCAGGAGTTTTAGAACATTTCAACTGCCAAAATTCATTATTCCTTTTGTGATTTTTATCTTTATCTTTTTAGTTGTAATCTGGATTCTAGTTTCAGAAACAACTCCAACTCTGCATACTGAGGTAAGGCTGCGAAGATCCTCACCTCACCTCTAAAATCTTAAGGAGACTCATAATTGGCCAATATTTAGTCCTATCTTACGTGTTTAGTGCTTAGCATTGCCTTTTTTTTTCTTTTTCCTTTAACCCGTGGTTTACGCTTCCTGACTTTTAGACATGCTTTGGAGAGTTACGTTTCTTTTTCCCCCAAAATATCATTTAATGTACATAAGTGATGTACACTGCAATGCTGATTACCGACAGTTAAAAGATAGTAAATCCTTGAGCAACTTGTCTGACTTTTATTAAACATCGGTTTGGTCCTTTGGAAAAAAATAATGGCCAAGAGGTCCAGAGATGGACCTGGTCTTATAGGAATATCAATTATGAATACATTATTTGCTTCTTTTTATCCGATGTTCATTTTTAAGATTAAAAAAAGCAAGAAATTTAAGTTTTGCATACACTACTTGAGAAAAACTTGGTACTGTATAACAAAAAAAAACATTCTTGGAAGTTTTGCATGCAAATGTTCAAACAATATGAACTACATGAACATGATCAAGTATTGAGTTAACCTCAATCTGGATTTTACATTTGTCTTATCATCCTAATGGTCCAACAACAGATACTTCTCAACCAAATCTTGCATGTGACTTGAAATGTTATTGAATGTAATAATAGAGGTAGTCACTGAGTTGCTCTTGGTGGTACAATTTCTCTCTAAAGTGAAGACAAGGACTGAACTTTGTACACAAACACAATTTGAAACAAGTTACTGCTTCGTTTATTAAAGTGAAAGAAAATCATAACTTGCTAAGCAAGGTTGTCCCAATGAAGGAATCCACCCTGTCCCCTAGCATTTGTAAATGTGTAAGTGGCACCTGAAACTGTTCAATGACATACTTTAGTGTCATCAGATTTCAAAAAACATAAATAGAACCAAACTTCTCATGAAAACTTATAAAGAAGCGACAATGGGGTATTAGAGTATATACCTTCATATCCTTCGAGTACTGGATCATCTGATAGAAGAAGTGGTGTGTCTAGGTCAATATACCTACACAAGAGTTTGCAATATTGAAATGATAAGTAAAATAGAAATGAACACTCCATAAGGAAAACACTAATATAAAACAGCCAAACCTAAGAAGAAAAGCCCAAACTTTTCAAATGCAATAACAATAGTACTCACTTAAAACATCCAAGGCCAGCAGCAAGGTGACCAGCAAATCCCATAGCAAGTCTTGTCTCAACCATACCACCAATCATCAAATCCAATCCTGCTGATCTTGCTTTTTCAATAATATCCATTGCACCTATAACTCCAACTTTAGCAAGCTTAATGTTAATCACATCTACAATATTTCCTTCAACTATTCTGTAAACATCAACTAAACTTCTGCAACTCTCATCAGCTGCAACCAATACTCCATATTTTTCTCTTGCTATGTTACTTACATATCCAAGTCCATCCCAATCATCTCTGTGAACTGGTTGCTCAAATAGAATAGGAGTCAACCCCATTTCTGTAATAATACAAAACAAACTAAGTTTCTATCAGCAAAAATATATTCAATAAAGGTGCATGTGTGCATTTTCTAGTCTGACAGCGACAATCATTAAATATTGTGTAGGTTTTAACCGTGTAATTTCTCGAGAACTTCCACTGCTTCGTCAGAGTTATACCCTTCGTTAGCATCGAGAATAAACTGACACTCGGGGTGAGCAACACGTATGGCTTGAAGCACTTCGATATCTGCATTCAGATTCTTTCCTACTTTCAGCTTTAAAGTCTTGAATCCTTGTTTATAGTACTTAGAAGCCAATTCAGCTGCTTCAGCTGAAGAAACAATTGGAATCTGCATATATAATAAGTTAGCTCAAACTTGTTTTTTCACTTACTTTTGTAAAACTGTTATATAAGATCTTAACTGTTATATCAGTCGTTATGGTATTTGAAGCACCACCAAAAAGCCTCCACAATGGCACGCGAATACTATTCGCAACAGCGTCGATTACTGCCATCTCCACTCCAGCCCTAACCTTCAATGTTGTAACATAGAGTGAAAGATAAATATCCATAAAAACAAACTTTATATTCACAAACAGAAGAACTAACAAATTAATAGAATCAGAATAACAAACAACAGAAGCACTAGTTAAAAGGGTTAACTATGATCAAACATCACTCACTGAAGCAAATTGATGCCCTGGAAGAATATCACCAATTTTTCCCAACATAAAACCCAATGTTAAGGCAGGACATTTCAGCAAGAAAGCACAAGCTTCAGAAGCTTTAACCATAGCTATATGTTGATCCTCTGCAGTAACAAAAGGCAAAATTGGTGCTTCACCCCACCCAACAGCACCGTTACTCAATTCAACTCTAATAGCAACGTTCTCCACTTTCTCCAGTTTCGAAGAAGCAATTGTAAAAGGGGAAATCAAGGGCACATTCAGTGGCCTATTCTCTGCTCTATGAACATCAACAGTGAAAGTTTCCAACAAAGTTTTGAAACCATATGCGATTGGTTTTGGTTTTGGTTTTGCCGCAGCAGAAGTAGCCATGATTGTGGAAAAAGAAGCAAACTTTTTGGTGAAAGTGATTGAATTGGAGTTGTAGGTGAAATGGGTTGGTGAAGAACATAGGAAGAAACTGTGCGATATTGGTGATTTCATTTGCAATTGCAATTTCAAATTCAACCCAATTGAATCCATTGAAACTCTGTGTAATTTTGTGATTGAATTGTGGATTTTGATCACTGATTTGTGAAGAAATCTATGTAAATAACACTATTAGTGGGAATTCTTTATATATTGAATACAGACAATGTTTTGCTTCAAAACCTCCTTATATGCTCTATGTTTGTTTTCTGTTTTATATGTATGATGATGACAAATTTATATTTTTGGAATATTATTTTTTAACTTTAGCATAAATTTAAAGGAATATATCATTTTCATATGAAGAAATATGTTATTTTTAACTTTAACATAAAGTCATGGGATTGGCCGGTTTACATCCCCAATAATTCACACCATTAGCTAAAATAGTATATGATATTAATACTAATACTTTATTGGTGAAGTATTTTGATGATGTGCAATAAAACTATAAAAAGTGAAAGATTTCAATGTACTATAGCTGAATTGTTAAGTAAAGAAATAAATGGTGGTCACTTAAAAGATTCTTCCATAAATTTTTTGTACAAGTGTTGTAATAAGATAAATCATAATTAGACTAATATGCTATTCAATGGAATCAGGATTTTGGTACATTTGTAGTTGTTCAATTAAGATCAAATTAATTAAATTTTAATTTGAAATTTTTTACACGAAAAAAATTTGATTTCTATCCAAGGATGAGTGATAAAGATACACATGGATAAAGATCCAAGGGGAAAATTTTATTTAGTGATTGAATTGATATGTGGTTCTCCTTAATGATCATATGATTTTTTTTAAAATTTTTTTCGGTTTAGAATTTGGAGGTCAAAGAGGAAGGTGAATAGATATCTAATTAAAATTTCATAAAATTTTGATTTTGAAAAATTATTTTTCGTAGAGTTTGAGCGAAAGTAATTTTTAAAATAAGTCGTCTATATGAATATTATTGGAAACTTGGATATGCAAATTTACAACTAATAGGAAATGGAATGAATATGACAACTTGTATTAATAAAACTTATATTAAGTAACACGTTATTTATCGTTTGTATCAACTTACTAGTAAATCTATTTTCAATACCAATATTCAAAAGAACAAACAAAATCAATTTGTCAAACATTGTGTAAGTGAATTTTAAGAATTTTCCCTTAAGTTGTGTTGATACACAAAATCACTTATAATCAAAAGTGATTATAAACAATATAAACACTTGATGTAAATCAAAAACAGTTTAGAAAATTGCTTACAATTCAATTGATAACGCAATGCTATTTGAAAATTTAATTAATGAATATTAAAGCAAGTAAAAACATAAATAAAAGAGACACAAGAATTTGTCTCCACAGTTCTCCATTGTCGTCCTCACGTATGGGTATGTCTGCGCCTAATTCCAATGAAAGGATAATTCTTACTATGCAAAAAGTTGATACAAGAGAAGTGTTCAAGAGCAACTCCATAAATCCTAAGCTTGTTGTTGATTCAACCTCTTCTCCTCTTTTGATCTTGAGAAATACCAAAACACAATAGATCCCAATTGAGTTATCGATATTGTACTCATTTGCGTTCTTTATCTCCAAAGATTTCACGCACGAACAATCAAATTGTACCTATTGCAAATATAAGACTTTAATTGTGATTCGTATTTCTCTCGCTACTTCCTTTGTGTTCTTTATCTTCAAATGATCCTGTTGTACCCCAAAATTTGCCCTCCCATATTTCTCAAAACATTTCAAGAAAGATCCTCAAGTTGCTCAAGGAAATCCAAGGGTTGACCAGACAAGCTCTCTCCTAAGGCAGTCTACCTCAAATTAGGGTTTCATGTTGCATCAAGATACTCGAGTCCAAGGGATCCCAAATTCTCACCATTGTCCTAATATGTTCTCAAGATCATCCATGTCAAGTTTCAAGCCTTGCAAAGGAAGTTTGCTCAGTCAATTGCTCAAATGCCTAAAAATCGACCGTGCTAGGGCAAAAGTCAACTGTGGCCCACATACAGTCAAACTTCAAGATTTTTGGTCAACATCCTCATTTTGAAGTATATTTCATCATTTGATCAAGGGTTGATCATGATTCATCAAGGATTGCTCACAATTCATCAAGAACCAAAAGTTGCTAAATTAGGGTTTTGTAGAAAAAGTCAACTCAACTTTGACCAAGCATAACTTTCTCATACTTTATGAGAAATGACCCATCCAAAGCTCATTTTGAATAGGATGCAATGCCCTACAATCCATCTTCATCCCCCAAGTTCAAAATATGCACTCACAAGAAGTTATGAATTTTGATATTATAGGTCATTTTGAAAAGTCAACAAAAACACCTTTTTTGTCAAAGCTTCATACATGAACATGGAATACCAAATTAAGATGAGACAAAAAGGTTGCTGATAGGACATCTCAAGATTTCTAAAAAGTCAAAGAACACCTTCAAAGAGTCAAAATTGAGGAAGTTATGCATTGGTGAAGTTGACCCTTTTTGCAAAATTGTCAAAAGTCAACTATGCCTCAAATTGCAATTTTTGCTAAATGGGCCTAATCTTTTGCACTTGTTTTGAGTTGGAAACATGGTCCACGAGCCCTATCCCTTTCCACTTGTCATTATCTTGTTTTTATTATTTATTTTGATTTTTATTTGAATTAAATCAATTTAAATCAAAATAAATCATAGAAAATCCAAAATATTGAAATCTCAAGATTTGGTACATATTTCAGGTCTTAATATCCAGCTAGCATGAGATTGAATTCGTGTAAAGGCTTGGTGTTCACAAAAAGATTGAGTTTGCTCTATTTTTAGCAAGATTTTCAAGTGTATCAAATCTAAATCAAAAGCAATGATGGAGGAAGATTGCGATCATATTGGCAACCCTAATTCATTCCTCAGTACATAAGGATCATTGGCAGACCCAAAAGAAGGCTGGAGAGAGGCGCATAAGGTCAGAACAAACTTGTAAAAAACAAGAAAAAGTGCAGACACGAATTCATAGTTACAGGCAACTACAAGACTCTTTGATCATCCCAATTGCTTCCTGGGATCCCCAGCAAGCAAAACCAATCAAGAACAAGCAATTTCAGACGCCAAAAACCACTGTAAGGCATCCACGACATTGGACTTTTTTTGAATTCGGTTTGCATAATTCTGGCACTTATAGCATGATGTAATCATATATTCTTGTTCACCATCATATTTGCAAGCTTTCTGTAATGTTTAATTGCATTTATATGGACTGTATGAGATTTCACCATTGCTAGGGTTTTATGGTTCGATTTGGTATCTTTGTATACAAGTAAAATTAGACCATAAAAGGAGCACCATTGTGCTCAGCAGGTCCAAACGAACTGATTGATGGCCTTAGGGTTTATTTATTTTGCTTATGGTTGATTTTAAGAACACGCAGGTTTGTAATGACGGACAAACGTCCGTAGGTAAAAGTATGAGACTTTTACCAACAGTGCAAGGAGGAAGATGACTAGCTGGCACAATAGGATTGGCTTATTTGAATTTTGGCGCCTTTGTTCACATTATTATATATTATCATTATTATTCACTCTATATACAAACAGAACAACTAGCGCAGTTGGTAGCCAATCATTGGAAAATGCCTTGGGGCCTGGGTTCGAATCCCAGGTCCCCCAATTTCTTCATAATATTTTTCTTTCAGTGATCCAGCGCGCATACAGTACCAGGGATCACCATACATCCTCATCATCCAGCCATTGGACCTTCTGGAAGCTAGATCTGAAGGCTAGCATATGAGAGACCATCATGGGGCCTAGTCAACGCAACACATTGAATCCAGCAAGTCAACAATGGATCAAGTCTTTTGGGCCAAGAGCTTGCTATCTACACCTCATCAATTACTTTCAGGCCCATATCTCTTTCTATATTCTTTTTTATTTTATATTTTTCTTAACTAATTTATTTATTCATTTCACTAACACAAAATAAATAATTCTTTTTATCAAAAAATCACAAAAATAATATTTTTCATCCAATTAGGTTTAAGTTTATTTTTTTATCAAAAAATTAATTTAATTAATTAGGTTTAATTTTTAGATAACTTTAATTATTTTGTAAATAAATTAACATTAATTAAGAACAATTAGGGTTTTAATTTAACTTAATTATATTTTCTTTTTTTTTCTTCTTAAAATAACCAAAACACAAAAATAGGCCATTTATTTATTTTCATTAAATTAATTTAATTAACTAATTAATTTTGTACTTAATTTAAAAACCTAATCCTTTTTATAAAAACAACAAAAAAACAATTTTTCTTTTAATTAGGTTAGAAAGGGTCAAAACCCTAGTTCTCTCCCGATCTAATTTTCCCCGCGCGCGTTTTATTATTTATTTTTATCCTATTAATGTAATTGCTCACAAGTTGTAATAGCTTAATTAGGATCTTTTATTTTCATTTATCGCTTTATTTTTTTTAAGGATTTGTTTTTGGCTATGTAAATACCCGAAGCCTTGTAATAGCGTAGTTTAATTTCCGCACTTTAAATTCCGCAAAATATTAACTGTTAGATGTATGATTAGGGTTGCATGACAAGAATGTATGATTAACTTTAAAACAGTTAGATAACCCTAAAATGTGCAAATATAATAAACTTGAAATTGAATCACTCGCACATGCGCACTCCTAGGGTACACTCCCACTTCGGTTGCCTTCGGTAAACGGTCATTGAGTATAGGATATTTTAGTGGTCGTCCTTTTGTCTCAAAGATCAAAGTTGCCTCGGAAAGGTTGCCTCGGATATCGTTGCCTCAAATAATTGATCTAAGACATTAGGGTTATTACTAAGACATCCTAACATCACTTTAGTGATCACACGTCCCTTTCGAATTGACCCTTAAAACTCCAACGATAATGCTACCTACTCACTAATAGTAGGATAGCGCTGTCTAAAGGAAACGAACATAGAACGATTCTTTTTTCGAGTAGGTAGATTAGTTCTTAAGTACTTGCTCAATCCAAACAAACTTTTTCACACTTACACTCCTTTTCAAACAAAGTTTTCAAAAACACTTCGTAACACTCTTGAAGACA